GCAGCACCTGTCCTTTTGTGACTAGGACATCATTCTTTGAAAGGTGGAAATTCAATGCAGAAGAAGACCCTAGATGAGATGGGCTTATATATATATATATATATATCAACAACATGCCATCAGAGCTCCCCTTTTTCTCACAGTTTTTGATGCTACTGCTGTTGGTTTTGTGTGCTGTTGAATCAGAACCAACTCATAGCTAACCCACCAGTGGGTTTTCAGAAGCAGTAAATCACATGGAAGGAGATTGCCTTTCCTTCTCCTGAGGAGAAGCTAGTGGATTTGAACCTCATGCCTTTGAGATTGCAGCATATCTTCTACCACTAGACTTCCAGAGATCATGTAGAACTCTACAAGCCCCAGATCAGAGTATCAGCCCCATGGAAAGGCTTATTTTCTCTGTTGGTTCTAGAAGAAGATTCTGCCTTCTTTGCTCACTTGTGGGTCTGGCATTCCTTGGATGTGTCTGTACATTTTGATATCAATCTTCCCCTGAGCCTAGAGAATTCTCAGTGCAGGAAATCCCAAGTTCAAAGGATAACACACTCTGCTTTTGCCTCTTTTTTCATACCGATCCATCTTTCTCTGCTTGATTCTCTCTCTTTTCATCTCTGGTAAAATGAATGCAGGCCATACCCACATAAATTCCCTGATAGATGAGAACTATGACCTGAATTGCAGTGCTGAATCTCACACAAATCCTCTTACAATGTATTGGTTGATCATAGTAGATTATATTATGGGAGAGGTTTCTATCACTATGTTGTTTGTTATTGTGTACTGTCAAGCCAGAATCTACCCATAGCTGACCTTTCAGGGGGTTTTCAGAAGCAGTGTAATTGCTTACCAGATTACCAGTTTTTATCCCATTGAGCAGCTGGTGGATTTGAGACACATTCCTTGGGGGTGTCAGCACAGCACCTTACCACTAGGCCACCACAGCTCCCTTTATATCACTATATAACTACCAAATCATATACTATATAAGTGCTGCACCACTGATAATCAAGGTCTAGAAAAAAAAATGATATATATTTGGAGTAAGAAGAAGGGCATAAGTAAATCCAAAACAAACATCTTGAGTAAACTCATTCTTTTACAACATTCCTGACCTCCAGACTGATTTGCTAGGAGTGGTTTGGGGCAAGAGTCGGGTTAGACAAATAAGATTGTTGACAGGGGCAAGTCTTCTAGTTCTACTCAGCCAGAGGCCCAAAACCATAGCCTAAGAATGATAAGAAGTGAGGGAGCTCCAGAGGCCTAGTGGCAAGAAGCTGCACTGCAATGCCAGAGGTGCACCATTCGAATCCACCGATGTTCTGCTGGAGAAGGAGGAGCAATCTCCTCCTGTACCAGTCAGATTTGATTTGATGGTACACATGCAAAAAAATAATAATTTTAAAAAATCAATTAAAAAAAAGAATGAGAAGAAGTCAAACAAATTCTCAGGAATGCAGAAGAGAAGCTTGTGCTGTCGACTGGGACAAATAAAGAGACAGGGACATAGAGAATGAGGAGGAGAAGAGAGTGAAGGCAGGGGGCAAACAGCTCAAAGACTGCTGCCCTGAGCCCAGAATCTTTCTAGTCTTTATTCAAAATTGCCAGGAGATAAGTCACAGAGAAAATTCTTTACTAATGAACCTATGTTTTCCTCTGCTAACATTCTTTTGCTTACATCAGGAAAGACACATTCACAAGGACAAGCTAGGAGGTGATGGGCACCACCTGATTTGCTGGAAGTGCCTGTCTTCTGTGATCTGTCTCAGGAGAAACACTACCTTGTAATCTGTTACAAGAGAAATTTCAGCTTGTTTTGTGTGTTCCTGATCATGCATTTGGTTTAACATTTGGCTTCCCATAAGCTTGGAAGGAAATAAAATTTGACTCAGATCTTAAGTTATACTTTCATTCAGATGTAGTAAAATTTAACCACTTTGTTATGCTGAGTGGTGCTCTGACGGCCATGTGGTAGGAGGTGCGCTGCCAGCCCAAAGGTAGGCGATTGGAATCCACCAGCTGTTCAAAGGGAGAAACGTGGACAAGCTCCTCCTTTGCGATGTTCAGACTCTGAAAATCTGCTGGAGGGTCAGCTATGAGTTGATTTTGACTTGACAGTAATGAGTTTGAATTCCGTTAATTAGGCTAAGAGCTTCAGTTCTAGAGGTTTTCCAGCTAGTGAGTTTGAACTGCTGATCTTTTGGTCAATGCTCACCTCAAAGCTGTTTTTCACAGGCTGTAAATCACATGGGAGGAGATTCCTTCTCTTTCTCCCAAAGATATGTTGGTGGATTCAAATAGTCACCACCTTTGGGTTAGCCTTACAACTCCATGCAGTCTGTAGCTGTTGTTGAGTACCATCGAATCAGAACCGACCCATAGGAGACCCTCAGAGAAAATTTTAATTGCATGGGGAGGAGATCCAAAAATCTTTCTGCAGAGTAGCTGATGGATTCAAACTGCATGCCTTTGGAATTGCAGTGCAGTTTCTTACCACTAGGCCACCAGAGCTCCTGCAGTCTATACCACTAAAACTCCTACTCCTAGTGACATTAATCTACTTTCTGTTTCTATGTATTTGCTTGTTCTAAATAGAATCATACAATACTGGATTTATTTCACCTATGTAATGTTATCACGGTTCATCCTGTTAGAGTTCAAAATCTGAAACACTTAACTGGTGGACAACTAAAGTCAATAGTGGAGGTTTTATTCCACTGTGGTTCTTAATATGGACTCAAATGCCATTTTTAATTTCTTCCTGACCCTGTATCTGCCAAAAGTATGAGATATGGAGTTTCACCATCTTTGCCTTCAAGGAGTACTTTGGCTGTACTTTTCCCAAGATGTTTCTGTTTGTTCTTTGTGCAGTCCATGATATAGATAGCCAACACTCTCCTCTAGGTCCACAACTCAAAGGCATCAATTCTTCTTCTGTCACCCTTAATTTGTTGTTTACCTCTTTGATGCATAGCAGGTGATTGAGAAGACCATGGTCTTCAAACTGACATCATTGCTCTTCAGCATTTTGGAGAAGTCTCTGACAGCAGACTTGCCCAATGTAATACATCTCCTGATTTCCTGACTGCTGGGACCCCAGGGTGTTGATTGCTGATCCAAGCAAGATGAAATCATTGACAGTTTCAACCCTTTCTCCATCTATCATAAATCTTTTCTCCATATAGCATAATGTTGACTGTTGCTGGTCCTGTGGTGAAGACTTTGGTTTTCTTGATGTTGAGATATAATTAATATTGAAGGCTGTATGTAGTCCTTAATCTTCTGCAGCAAGTGTTTAAATATCCTCCTCATTTAGAGCAAGCAAGGTTGTATCATTTGCATAACAAATGTTGTTGATAAGTTTTCCTGTTTCTGATGTCTCATTCCTCTTTATAAAATCGACCTTCACAAATTATGTATTCAGCATACCACTGTACAGTAAGTGAAATAAAAATGTTTGCTAAGAGATATCTTGGCTGTCTAGTGCTGCTTTAACAGAAACGCCACAAGTGAGTAGTTTTAATGAACAGAAATTTATTTTCTCACAATTCAGGAGGCTAGAAGTCATAACCAGGGAGCTCTGGTGGCCTAGTGAGTGGTGCTGCCCGTTGAAAGGCGTATCGTTAGAATCCACTGGCTGTCCCATGAAGGAAAAGGATGGGCAATCTCCTTCTGTGCAATTTAAAGCTTTTGAAAACCTGCTGGAAGGTCTGCTATGAGTTTGTTCCAACTCAATAGAACCTATTAACAAGAAGCTCAAAAGGAAGCTTTTCTCTCACTGTCAGCTCTAGGGAAATGTCCTTATCTCTTTTCACCTTCTGTTCCTGGGTTCCTGCCACAGTGGGGGAGGGGGTGGATGAGAAAGCAAGGGGGGGGTTCATCTATCTTCACCTATCTTTGCTTCTCTCGCCTGTTCCTAATCCCTATGTTCCTTTTCTATCTCAAAAGTAATTGTTTCAAACAAACTTTACACTGATGTGGCCTCATTTGTATAACAAAAAAAGTCCTCTTTTCAAATGAGGTTGCATCCATGGGTTAGGGTTTAGGATTATAACACAAGTTGTAGATGGACACAATTCTGTTTGTAACAAGTGGGGGAGGAGAGTCCATCAGCTCCTGGAAGAATGAGGCTGCTGTTTCTCATAGTTCATCTTGTGCTGGATATGTCTCAGGAGCCTGGCTGACCTGAGGAGAAAGAAATATTGAAATGAGCAGTGTTTTAAAATAGTTCCATTCAGCCCAGGACTGATCTTATTCTCTTTCTTCTGAAGAAATGTCTAGATTTAGGAGGAAAAAAAGTTTCACTCATCCCCTCCAACTGATAAATTGACTCTAATTCTTGGAATCTAGTCAAGTCCTACTCACATGAGAGATAGAATTTAATTCTCCTGGAATCCAGATTTCTATGGTTCTTGGAGTTGGGTGGCCAAGACCCGAGACCTTTTTTTGAATCCTGGGTACAATGGTCCCCTAAAGTTAGCTCTGAACCAAGCAGTAACCTCAAAAATAATTCCATAAAGATCAATTTGCCTTACTCTTTTTAAGAATTATCTGTGTGCTGTTGGTTTCAAGAACAGAAGCTCCAAAGTTGGACCTTTTTTTGGAGCAAATTGTTGTTAGTAAACACTGTTATGGTCCTGTTTCTAGGGCAATGTAGCTACTAGCCCTGAAAAAACTTTAATCTTTGGAATATTTCTGACTCCGCAGTCAAATGTTCCCCTGATTTGCAAATCAGATATTAAATAAACCTCAACTAATTTTTGTTATTTGCTTAGTATGATTTTTGTTTTAACACACATCATTCCCAACTCCTGCAATCATGTCTGCCCTGTTCCAAGAGCTGGCTTTATCTTTGTCCAAAGACCTTGTTAGAACAGAAATGCGGGAAAGTCATGCAACAAGTTCTGAAGAATCTCTGGGAGAGAGATTCCAAGTCAGGGTCGGATACAGCCTCTGTTTTCTCATTCATTTTCACTTCATGCCTAGCTCTGGCCCCAGCTCACCTGAAGCCCTGGATTTCCAGAGAAGGATGAACAGGATTGAGAACACCAGGCTCTTGTTCAGAATGAAGCCACATGTCAGGACAATAACCAACATCGACACACCTGCAAAGTCAAAGGCAAGAATTGACTTCTGGGTTTAATGCCATCAATTCCCAAAGGGAAAGAAGTGTTTGTTGCACATTGTGTCCTGAGGCTCAGTCTGTTCCCTGTCTTCTGGTCATTGAAACAACCAAGATGAGGTCTTTCCTACAATATTCCACTCTAGCCTTCTCCTATTAAAAAATATTGACGATAAGTGTGCTATAGTGAATTATGTAATATGGCTTTTCTAGGCATTGTCTGCTTTTCACTACATGACTAAGTGGAACTAACTATACAAATGTAGGGTATTTGTGGCATCATCAAGGGGATTGGGTGGCTTGCTAGTAATATAAACAAGGCAAATAGCACCTTTTGCATGAGACCATATAAACAAGGTGTGTAGACCACCAATGTGGAGGAGATTGGTCCTTTTGCCATCCTACCAGGTTTAAATATATCAGGTTCAAAGACAAAATACAAGAATCTTGCCATCATCAAGAAAGACAAAGCAGAGAGTGATGTGCATCCTTTTGGATCAAAAATTCATGTGAGATATGGAGACCAGACCACATCACCACCACCGGTAGCAGCAGCAGAAAGAACCAGAAGTAATGTGAGCCACAAACAGAGCTGATCTAGAATTGCCATCCCATGGAACAAAAAACTGAAAGCCTTCACCCAGTGTATTAGTGGAGAGGGAACATCAAGTTGATTCTAACTCATGGTGACCTCTTCTGTATCAGAGTAGAACCGTGCTCCATAGAGCCTTCATGGTTGGCTGTTCAGTAGACCTCCAGTGCTTTCTTCCAAGGTACCTCTGAGTGGAAGCCAAGCTTTTTGGTTAGCATTTTCCTTGCCCAGGGACTCCCCCTAGAGGACAGAGTTCTTGTAATTGCATGGCATTCAAAGCTCTCCACAATCTGGATTTATTGTCGCATTTTCACCTTATTCATCTCTCTCCACTTCGTTAAATTGTCTGTCCACTGTGTTTCTGTGACCTGCTCTTGCTTCTCCCCAGCATAAAATGCCCACTCCCTCTTCTACACTGCTAACTCCTCTGCTACCTGCAAAGGCCCAGTAGAGATTCTGTTCCTTCAGGTGGTTTACCCCAGTGCCCAACTCGACTCCCCGACCACATGGACAGCTCAGGGTGTCTCTATGTTCATGTGATACTCAGTGCTGCCCCTCAGGGGGAGGACTTGCTGCCAACCTTAATGCTACCTCCTGTCTTTGCCTAAAGAAAGAGAAAACCGATTGCTCAGAATCCATTTGTGACCTAGATCATGTTTTCTAGGTGTAGTACCTTTCCAGGTGGGCATGTTATCCAGAGGGACCAGTCCTTTTAAAAAGGTTATCATGCTTGGAAAAGTAGATGAGAAGACTCTTAGTAAGATGGACTGATGCGATGAATCTTTGATATGCGTGACTGAATGGGAAACTCTGGTTATAGGTCTTGGTTGAAAGTACCTGGTTGACAGCAAACTTATATTGATTTGTCTGAATGTGCTGCACCCCTGGGAACATAAAAGATTTTCAGACCTCACTCTTTGCCTCTATCTCATTTGTTGGTTCTCTATGTTATAATCTTCTGCTGTAATAAAACTTACTGAAGTAAATATATATATATATATATATATACACACACACACATAAAATTATTTCATAATAAGCGCTGGGGAGAAGGATGGGCAATTTCCTCCCATGCAATAAACTGCTTCTAAAAACCCACTGGAGGGTCAGCTATGGATCATTTCCAACTTAATGGTACTCAGTAACAACAACAATCGTAAGTGTAGTGAGTTTTGTGAACACTAGTTAATTAACTAGCAAATTATGGAACACGATAAAGTACTTGTTATCATTAGGTGTCATCGAGCCAAGTATGACTTGTAGCAACCCTATGAACAACAGAATCTGAACCCTGTCCTATCCCATGCCATCCTCTCAATCTCTGACACACTTGAGCCCAGTGCTGTTGTTGCTGTGTCGGGGTCTTCTTCTCCTCTGCTATCCCTCCATCTTCCCAAACACAAAGTCTGTCTCCGGTGAGTAGGCTCTTGGGATTCCATTTTTTAAGCCAGCTGGTCAGAAGTAAGGATGGCTCTGTGAACTCCTGAATCCCAGGAAGATTTGACAATCTAGAGAACTGTGACTTTAATTTGTAAAATTTCACTCAACTCCAGGTAGTTGGTGTTACAAGTTATTTCATACAGTGTATTGTTGTTAGGTGCCATTCGACTGACTCCAGCTCACAGTGATGCTGTGGGCAATAAAAATAAAATGCCACTCAACCCTGCTCCTGCCTCAAAATCGACAATGTGCTTAGGTCTATTGTCGCAGTCACTGTGTCAGTCTGTCCCATTGACGGTCTTCTCTTCTGCAACCTTCTACTTTTCCAGGCGTAATGTTCTTCTCCAAGAACTAGCCCCTCCTGAGAGCATAGCCAAAGTCTGCAAAATGAAGTCTCACCATCCCTGCTTCTGGGAAACACTCTGGCTACGCTTCTTTCAAGTCGAATTCCTAGCAGTTCATGGCATATTCTTCGCCACAATTCAAAGGTGTTGCTTATTCTTTGTTGTTACTGTCTATTCTGTAGTCTCCTTTACTCATTGTCTACTTTCATATGCATTTTAAGCAATTGAAAATACCATGTTCTGGCGTAGTATATTATAGTCTGATTGGAGTCCGCTATCACCTAACGCCTTTCATCTGCAACTGGTTGACAGAATTTTGTTGCCTTGAAGTAGTAACATCCAAACCTTTAGGTTAGGGCTTCAGGATGAAAATAGAAGTTCATTCCACCTGCCGGAACGCAAGAGTCCTTAAGTGTGCCTGGACAGGGGACATCCTCTGTGTGGCCCAGCTTGGCTCACTGGAGACCTACTTGTCAGGTGTGAAGCCAGCCAAGCCAAAGTGTTATTCTGCTTTGCTTTGGGCTCTATGAAGCGACCCTTAATCTAACACAAGTTAAACTGATAATGCGTTTTAATTTGTTCTATTTGGTAAGGATGAAATTATGGAAGAAACAAAAACTATTAAGAACATTCATTGAATCCTAACACCAATGAATGAGTGCAAGAATAATGACTGATGAAGAAACTAATCAGCTGGCCAGGACATTTTCCTACTTGATTAAACCACATGTGAGCCACTGGGACCCCCATGATACTTGGAATAACTTTTCTCCTTCTGTAGACTGAGCAGCTCACTCCCAAAGTCATTGCCTGTGGTTCTATATGCTGGCTAGGGAAGAAAGATAATCAAGATTCTAGAAAGTTAAGGGTAGAAAGAGCATTCCACATCATCTGCTCCAGTTTCCATGGACCAAGGCAGGCAGAGGATATCCAAAGTCATGATCTTCATTTCTTTGTGCTTCTATAATGGAATGCCGTAAACGGGTAGCTTACGGCTAACACTGAGGAGAATGAGAATCTCAGAATACTTAATTGTGCTTAAATGAAATCTATACCTAGACTAGGAAGCTGTTTTCCAAACAGAAAAAGGGAACACTATGATTTAAAAGCAGGAAGGGCATACCTCAAGGGTGTATCCTTTTCCCATAACAATTCAATGTGCATGCTGAGCAAATAACTTGTGAAGCTGAACTCTAGAAGAATGTGGCATCAGAATTGGAGGAAGACTGATCAAATATCTGCGGTATGCAGATGACAAAAACCTTTCTTGCTGAAAGCAGCAGGTGCCGGAAGCAATTGTTGCACAGAAATAAAATATTACAGCCTTCAATATGTATTGCATTTTAATATTAAAAAAATGAAAGTTTTTACCATTGGACCAGGGAGTAATATTATGAGAGATGGAGAAAGGATTGAAACTGTTAATGATTTTGTCTTGCTTGAATTCATGGTAAACATCCTTGGTAGCGGCAGTCAGGAGACAAGGAGGCATATTACTTTGGGCGAGACTGCTGTCAAGGACCTTTTCAAAATACTGAAGAACAATGATGTCAGTTTGAAAACTAAGGTGTGCCTGATCCAGGCCATAGTCCTTTCAACTACTTGATATGCATCTGAGATCTGGACAATGAATAAGGTTACAGAAGAAGGATTGATGGCTTTGAGCTGTGGCATGTTAGAAAAGAGTACTGAATATTCCCACGGACTGCTAAAAGAATGAATATGTTTGTCTTGGAAAAGATGCACACAGAGTGCTCTTTGGAGGCAAGGATGGCAAAGCTTCATATCTCATCATTTGGACATGTTGCTAGGAGAGGCTATTCCTTGGAAAAGGATATCATGCTTGGAAAGTTGGAGGGTCAAGTGAGAGGAAACAACTCCCCCCGCCCCAATCTAGATAGATTGATACGATGGTTGCACCAATAGCCTCAAGTGTATCAGAGATGGTAAGGATGGCTGAATTCAGATCTGTTGTTCATAAGGTTGTTATGAGTCATACTTGTCTCAGTGGCACCTGACAACAACAACAACAACAGCAAACAATTTAATTTCTTGTACCTTAAAAACCAAATCCTCAAAAAAAAACAAAAAAACCAAATCCTCAGACTCACTATCTTCAAGTTGATTCTGACTCTGAAAAGTTAACACTTGGCACATAGTAGAGGTCCAGTTACTGGCTTCTTACCTGGCATGTTCCCTGCCTCTGTATGATGGATGCTCAGTATCACTTAACCCATTGTCCTTCTCTTACAGGTGAGGAAACTGATGTTCAGAGAAGGGCAGTAATCCTCTCAAAGGGCAATGAACCGAGAGTCCTCAACATTCACAACTAATTTACATTGCTTCTCCAAAACAGCCCATCAGCAGGCTGAAACCCACCATAGACTCTGACTGTGGAGAATTGTGAATAGTATGGAGAACACTGAGATCAACCCAAGATTGTGGCCCAGATGATCCAGCTTGAGTCTGTCCCACTTCAGGAAGCCTTTGTTGGTACCTCTGGCCCACTAGCACTCTCCTCTAGTTGACCTCAATGTTGTTTTTGTTGTTGTTTGCTTTTAAGTCAAAACCAGCCTACCCTCCAGTAGATTTTCACAGGCAGTAAATCACACACAGGTTCTTATCACTAGGCCACCAGAGCTCCCTAGTTGTAGTTGTATGGTTACTGTAGAGTTGGAACTGACCAATGGCTGATAAACCTGGCCTCTGTAAGAATGGCTTTTACTTCTCTAACTAGAGGGTTCTGTTCATTAGTGGAGAAGACAGTTCTATTGGAAATGTAAGACCTAGTATAACATCAGCAAAGATATTTCTGTTAAAAATGATACAACCTGCTCACATCTAAAAAATGACACGACACGTGCTGATATGATTATCATATCAATAAGGGTTAGGAAAAGCATGTTGTCTTGTTCACCATTGTAATCCAAACATATTAGTAGTATCTGATATCTGTATATACTCAAGCATTGTGATGGATGGATAGATGAATATGTGGATACATAATTAGGTTGGGAGGTTAAGAAATGGTTTCTTTAGAATGAGGTAGACAGATGGACAATGAGTTGAGTGGTTAGATAACTGAAGAGATGGATGGATGGATGGATGGATGGATGGATGGATGGATGGATGGATGAATATGCAAAACTAAGGAGGAATATGAAGATTAATTAATGAAGCAAGGACTAAAGAAATACCATGAAGTTAGCCTTGAGCAGAGACAGATTGCTAGAAAGAAGGAAGGAATGAATGAGGAAATAAGAAAAGTACGGAAGGACAGAGTGAGAGAGGAAAGAAGGAAGAAAGGAAAGAGGACCTCTCTCCTCCATGTCAGAAAAGACCCCTGCATGGTAGAGGAGGTCAGCTCTGCATAGCCGCTTCCCTGGGAAAGGTCCCCTGGTTTCTCACCATTGCACAGTGACAGCCGAACTCGATCATGCAGGACAAAGGGTTCACTAGGAGAGAGGTCAACCACACATTGATACAGTCCTTCATCCTGCCTCTGGAGCCCTGTCACCGTGACCTTCACAACGGCTTCTGTGGGTAAATCCTCCAGCAGGTACCTCCCAGCTTGGACTTGGTTTGGTGTGCTTGTGTCTCCAATTTCTGTGCTCAACAATGTCTCAGGGGGACCCTGGCTTCTCACTCTCTGCCAGGCCTTTGGACGGAGGGCGTATTTCCTGATGTTGTAAGGACAGGTTAAGGTCAGGCTGTCTCCTTCTATGAGACACACTTTCATCTCACGGATGCTTACTGCTTGGAGCCCTGGAATGAGGATTCAAGGCAGTATTACCGTTAGACAATTTTTCATCACCCTGGAAGCACCTCCCAGCCTCAGTGCACAGCAATCACAAGATCACAGGTTAGCAGAAGTAATAGCTTCATGAGACATTTAGGAGACATCTAGAAGATTAATAAATTATTTTGAATCCAAGAGTCCCTTCCCTTATCTCCTAGCTTCATGACTCTCCACTGGGTTTTCAGAGGCAGTTAATCCTACACTAAGAGAATGTTCAGCTTTTCCCCTCAAAGCAGCTGGTAGATTGAAACTGTGTAACCTTTGTGTTGGCAGCACAATTTCTTGACTGGAACAGCACATCAACAGAGAACTACCAGAAGTCCAGGCTGGGTTTAGAAGGGGTCGTGATACTAGAGATATTGTAGCTGATGTTAGATGGATCTTGGCTGAAAACAGGGAATACCAGAGGAATGTCTATCTGTGTTTCATTGACTATGCAAAGGCA